GCCAGCGCGTCGTCGATGCGCAACGCGCCGCGGACCATGTCAGACCACGTATCTTTGCCGCATTTGGCGTACTTGTCCTCGACCTTAGTCACCAAGGACATGGTCACGTAGTTGCACAATCCCGCGTTGGCGTCGTAAAAGTGCGAGTCCGAGTGCGCTGCGATCATGTGACCGGCTTTGATTGTCCACACGAGCAACTGCAAAGCCGTGTCGTACGCGGCGGGGTTGCACTTCAAGTTGACAATCGCGTTCGAGTCTTGGGCGCAAAAGTTGTACCCACTCTCGATGAACGACACGTACGCCGCCTCCGTGTCCGTGCGGTTGTTGAGTTGGTCCATCGCGTTGAGCAGGTTCAACCGGCCCGACGGTGACGGTCCGTCGTCCACGGTTATGTACACGACTTCCTTGGCCGACTTGGCCTTGCGGATGCCACAAGTCGGTGCCGTCGGGATCGGAAACTTGGCTGGCTGGCCCACAAACTTGGGGAAATTGAACTCGACCTTGGAAGGTGGTGCCATCGTGTCATTCAACAACGGGATGTCCACGGCAACCGTCGTGACGGGAACGTCTGGGACAAGCGGCCATCGCCGATCCGAGTCGCTGCTGCTTTCACTCTCGGGCAGTCCGCTCGGATTACCCTGTTCCCCAAGCCCCGCATGGGAAGGCGGCCCGAAGAAGAAAAACGCCACGACGTTCCACACGACAAGCAGCCCAAACATGGGTAGGGTATTCCGTGAAAATGGTTATGAAAATGATCAGGGTGGACGACGGAATTGTGGTGAGCTTTCGGGTACATTGTCATCCAGCATCCTTTGTATGTTAAAAGTCTTTTGGTAATGGCATGGTACGTTTTATCGGAACATTTATGGAATGATTACGTTTTGGAAATGGAACTTTCTGAGATGCGTCACTACTACTACGTAGCATACCGTTCTACAGGAAAATGGCTTCTCTCAAGACTGATACTTCGACGTTGCAGAAAAGCCTTTCAATACTCAGTACTACTGTACTACTCCGGAGTACTACAGAGGGGAGGGAAAATAGCTCAGTGGTGGAGCATCGGTTTCTTAACTCAATGGGTGAGGGTTTTGACCCCGTGGCGTAAAAAACACCTCTTTTTATCCACTGTCCTTTCTATTTTGTCGCGCAATGTATTAATTGACTGTGAGTTTGGATTATCATATGTTTAAGGGTTCGTTTGGTACACGTAACCGGAAATATTGCAATATTCAGGCCCAAAGCGCCATTTTAGGGTCGAATTCAACAAATCTGATCAAAATTAAAACATGTCTTGCTTGCAGAGGTTTAACCCAAATCCAATAATTCCACGTGGGATTTACTCGTTGAAGAGGTCCAAAACACCATATTACAAATGGACCTTTTACATCCATTTTGAAAATGGCATTTTGGTTAATCCCATTTTGCGAAAAAATGGAATATTATTCTTGAAATGTTACCAGAGGCACCCTAAGACATTCCTCCACAAGGGCCGATACTAGAACCACATGTTGTCGGATCGCTTCGCCAATTGTAACGCGCCTGCCCGACCAGGGACGGTGTGTAATCTTCGGTTTTTTACTTCGCTCAACGGTTAATACCTCGTGCTTCGACCGATCTTCTTCGAAGTTCGGTCCTCGTCTTCGTACGTAGCCCTTGTTATCCGGATTCCCCAGGGGAGGGACGGATAAATCCTTGCGGAAATAATCCGGGGAAACCGGGGATCGAACATGAGCAATATCAGCTGCTTTTTAGATGTTGCCCAGCGCAGTGAGGCGGATTCGTAGCATATTCCAGAACAACCAAATTCATGGTTGTCAAGAGGTAACATCCATGCACATGTTTGTACTTTCTGTATGTGATTTGTTAAGTACCCTCCATAAAAAATAATTTTGCTCTATATGTTTATGCAGGAACCCGCTTGGGGTGAAATACCTATAAAATATAATATATATCGAGTATGAGAGAATGCAACACGCGGGAAGAACCCACTCATTGCACGCCAAATGGCGCGGACTGCCCATCGCAAAGCACAGGACGCCCGTCGGCCAAGAAGACCATTCGCAAGGAGCCATCATTTTGAACCAAATCGTATTCTGTCCGTAACAAGCTGTGCGTCATCAACGCAGGTCGAGATAACTCTTACAACTCCGCATTGGGCATGTACTTCCCGGGACTCACTGGAACGCCACGCAAGATAGCGTGGAAGCGCATTCACCGCTGGGAGAAGAATCGTGCCGTTATCGAAGCCGCAGCAACCGAACCCTCCCAACAACACAAAAAGTCCCCGCGGCCTCCAGGAACTACGTTGACTCTTGATGTCGCCACAGAAGAAGTGGTGGTTTCGGGGTAACCAAAACTGAGTTTTTAGAATGATTGGCTGCGAAATTCAACCCCCAAGCGACCAGGTAAACCTACCGGTAGTCAGTGTTGAATTTGCTCCATTAGTCAGCTCTTTAACCGATGTACCGACTTCACCAGCTCGTCCGTGTCCAACCCGAACACTTTCCGCAACGCAACTTACCCTCGTTTGCCTACGGCCAGGTGACACGTGCCACTGCCACGCATGTGCATGTGTACATCCGTGCCAACAACGTCCTTACCTCGTCTTTCCGCGAAGCAGTACCAATTGACTCGTGTGTGCTCCCCATCGTTGACATTGACGAGTTGGAGGCTGGGACGGGTTTATGGATGCGACGCTTCGCCTTCGGCGAAGTTAATGGTTCGTGGCACCATGGCCAGGTAACCGCTTTTGACGTCACTACCCACTTTGTTACACTGACCACAGCCACTACGTCCCACTCTATCTCCGCCAACACTCTGGAGCCAACATTTCCAATCTGCGCTCTTCTACTCGGTGCCCAAGCTCTTCCCTCTCCTTTGAGTGACTCCGCGCTGGCATGTAGTCCTGCTGACCTCCGTTCACATCACGCTACCATTTTCGAACGTGCCATCACTGGTTCGGACACCGTTTTACCGTCGACGGATATTCCAACAATTCTAACCGACATTCTACCGATTACTCTACAGCCTCACCCTGACGACACCGTTTGTGTAGTTGACTTGGCTAGGGGACGCGTTTGTCGCATCAACATGTGGTTGATTTTGCCAACGTCGTTGATGGTGGCAATGCACCATCTACCCTAATTGGCCTGGGCGAATCATTTTGTAATGAACCTCAACACCGTGGGGATGATAGCCCTGCTGCTCCAGTGCCCCCTCGTGTTTTATTCTCTGTTGCCCCCCCGGCACTGCCACAGTACGAGAGGTGACTCTTGCAACCGCCGTTTCAAATAGACGCTTTTCTCGGCCAATCCTCCACAGCTCCTGGCATGGTACCGGGGCGAATTACCGCACTCGATGCCGCGGCAGCGTCCTTGGCTCAGGAGGACGGTCGACATGCTAGTCGTCTCCGACGCACTAGTATTCCATCTGTCTCCGCTGCTTCAAACCCTAGTCCGTTTGTCCCGGCGAAAATCTCCCTAAGTTTTTATTCAACCCATCCGCGACCCAACGTGCAGTGTGGAGTGCCCTTTCGTCTCCATCGTACGGTACATTGCCCCCAATGGATCTTATGAGTCGCATGGCTTGTGATCCCTGGCTTGGTTTTACTCCGCACCCGGGATTTTCACTTATCTATATGATTTATCGTTCTCGTCGGATGGGCTATCCTTGGCCCATTTCCCACCTCTCTCTGATCATGCCCGACGCATATGGAACGACAACGGCGCTGTCAACCCGCGCAACTTCTCAGCCTCGGTTACTCCCCCCGAGTCACAAAACTGCTGTCAGCCCAAGCCATTCTTGACGCACTCGACAGTCTCGTGACGTTCTTCCAGCCCGACGCGTATGGTTCAACCACGGCGACGCTGTACTTCGGACGCGCCAAGGCATTCTGCGCCTCCCTTCATCGTCGCCATCCTATTTGCCCGCTTAGTGCACCAGTGGTCGTGGCATACCTCGACCATGAATTTGGAAAGTTCGGCCATGTCATTGCTAGCGACGTACGCTCCAACCCCCCAGGAGATGCTTTCACACGATTCTACCTCGTCTTCGATATTGATGGTAATTCGGCCAATCAGCTCCTCATGTCCATTATGCAAGTCCAACTCGCGACCCTACCACACCATTCGTCTTCTCACCATGGCCACTTGATGCAAACCCCTCAGGCCCATGGTCCGTCATCATCGACGACGCCAGTACGAGTATCCATACCCCCCACAGCTCGTAAGTCCATCCCGGTCATCGACGGCAGGTCAATCTGTCTGCGTTTCCTCTCAGTCAAAGGCTGCTCAGCCGGTCCACTTGGAGCTACATGTGGCACGGTTCCACGCGCCCGCATCCATGCAGTCCCAACTCAGCTCCCACCCGCTCTGAAATCGCACATCACAACATACCTTGGAGGCCTAAAATCTGAATTCTCGACCCTGGCTTGACGGTGCCATGGGGGGACTCGCTTATCCCCCCCTGGCCCAACGAAGCTATTCACTTCGTCTCGCCCACCACACGTTCACCACAACATGTCCTTCCCACACATCAGTCGTCACTGCTGACAGTGTCACGAATGCTGTTCCCTCCACCAAAGTTTTCCCCTGGGCCCACCATCCATTCCCTCCCCTCTCGGATGCACACCACCACGTGTGGCCACCCGAGAGTCCCATCATCGCCAATAGCGCTGACGCCACGTGGTTTGGTCTCTCCATCCCCGAAGCAGGTGTAATTGGCATCGACACATCTGCGACCTTTGGTTGGTGCGGCAGTCCAAACATCTACTGCGCTTTCGGCAATGGAATCTCTTGGCGAGTCTCGCATGAATCCCCAGCCACGATATGTCCATCTTTGTCCACCGACGATCGCCCATTCTGGGGATTCAACAACATTGGTGACCATGTATTAATCGAACACGACGTTGGAATACGATTATCCTGCGCCGACAGCACCTTGCGACTTGCCACCCTTGGCCCGGACAGCCTCAACCTCGACAAATTTACCTCTTGGCCCGGCAAACTAGCTGCCTTGGGGCTGCACTGGGATCTCGATAAAGGCCAAGTTTCGATGCCTTACGAAAAGATCTGTAAGGCCAAGCTACGGGTCCACAATCTCTCTCATGGTAGAGTCACAACATTCACAATCTTGAGAAAGTGCTTGGCAGCTTACATCATGTGTGCTCATGCATACGTCCGGCGAGAGCATGCACATCGACGAATCACAAAACCACGACCATTTCTCCATCAACGTTCGAGAGCATTTCTGCGTGACCCTCGCTATCGCTATCTGGGGCCCCCTACTCGCAGACCCAGAAGGACGTCGCACCATCCACGTCCGAGCACTAACCGACAATACCAGCGCGCTGGTATTGCCCACTACACACTCGCCAGCAAAAACAGCTACAGTCAATAACTCAATCGCTGCCTCGGCCTCCACCAAGCCCTACACCACCTACACGCTACGGCTCAACATATCCAAGGCGTAATCAACACACGACCCGACGCAAGATCACGAGCCAGCCGCGAGCCATACACAAATCTATGGCGCGCGGCAATGAAGGGTTAGACCCAATCAGCAGTCCCGCCTCAGTTACGCCACTCCTACCTTCCCTGTCCGAACTTCAACGAGCGTCTTTGGCCACATCCTCACTCACGAGGTACGCTCAAGTCTGGCGCGAATAGAGTACGTTTCGCCGATCGCTCCGACTACCCGAGTGGCCGTCAAATCACGTCTAATCACATTCAACGGATCTCTACGCATTTGCCCAATATCTTTGGTCAGGCGAATCGGGCCGTTCCAACTTCGCCACCTCAATCAAGTCCAAGCTCACAATCGTGTCGTGGTACCACTAATGCGTCTGCGGCTACTCTACTCGACTTGCACCACAACACAGAATCCAACTCACCGGCATGCAACGCTCCCGCACCCACTCCCACGCCAAAGACCCCATCTCCGTTATTATCCTGCTTGCCCTTCGCAATCGACTACACCTCGAAACCCACCAAGACCGAGTTATCTGGGGCTCTACGGTCTTAGCTTTCTCCTTTCTTCTCCGTCGTTCCGAATACTCCTCCGTCAACGGCAAGCCTACCAACCACATCATCCGTATCCAAGATGTAATGTTCCTCGATGCCCTGCTCCAACGTACAACAGCATCAGCAAAGTCCAACTCCGCATTCAAAATTCAAAGTCCGACCAATCAGGTCGTGGATCTGACTTACAACTGGCAACTTCAGGCGTGACTTGGTTATGCCCAGTGGCAGCAATGTGGATCATAATGCACCAGGCGCGAGCAATAGGTGCCATGTCAAACGAAACACTGTGTTGCATCAAGCGTGGTACACCCATTCCCTCCGAACTCATCAGCACACACATCAAACTGGCTGCTGGTGACACTGGACAAGATACGTCAAAATTCTCAACCCAGTCGATGCGGAGCGGCGGTGCTATGGCCCTGTTTCGCGGCGGCGCTACCGACCTGGCGATTCAACTATTCGGCCGCTGGACGTCAGACGCATATAGTAAACGATACACCAGAATCGACGGGCAAGAGGTAGGCAACATGGCCACCAAAATGGTCGCAAGCGCATTTTCATATGGGGCAACCGCCACGCCACCCCCAAGGCTGGCGATACACAATTCACTTGTTCCCTGTAATAGAGTGCAACACTTGCGAGTTAATACCGAGTTCACTGTATTATACTGGTGTCAACAGTAAATACTTGTGGTTGCATCTTTCTCGCGTGTTATTGCTTGAGGGGGTACTGATCCAACGTGCCAATGGTATACCCGAGAAGCTGCAGCTCAGCTATCACGTCACGAAAGATAGACGCTTTCGCCTCGTCCACAAAAAAGTAGTCGTGGGTCAGCAGCACGACGTGGTCCTCACTCGGCCCGGGCTTCCACTTCTTGTCGAACTGGTCGACAATGTCTTGGGCGACTTTGCACTTTTCCTTCTGCGCATCGTACGTTGCCTCGGCATCCAAGTACCACTCCACGTCCCATCCCAAGACAAACCACGGCTTGGTGTCGGGTTTGCACTCGAGCTTTCCCTCAAAGAGTT